TAATCTAATTATTTATGTGTGGTTCATCTATTTACACAAAAGAATTGGCTAGAGAATTATTTGTTACACTTAGGATAATCATCAAAGAAAATTCTCATTCGTAAGATAAAAAGCGAAATTATTCAAAATATCATTATTTTAATAACAAAAGTTGTTCCTTTAGTCTTTCTGCAATTAGTTGCTTAGAACCTCCAAGAAGCTTCAGAACTTGGTTTTTGAGATGTGACACTTCGAATTTGTTGTGCCGTTCAAAACTATATAGGTATTTTGAGAATTCTTGGTGAAAAGAAGAAAATATTCTATAGAAAATATAACTAAAACCAATAAATATTAATAAATGTTGATAATATATGGTTGTATCTATCCAAAGTTAATAAAATTTTCAAAAATTTTAGTAACAATATGTATGTAAAGGTAACAATAAACCTGAAACATATTAATTAGGACAAGTTGATGTAAATTATTAGTAGCACTGTGAAAATGGCTGAAAATTGCCCTTATTAATCTGATTAGTGCATTTCAGATTGTTCTTACTGTAAATGTGTAAAAAGAATAGGTGTTTTAATATACAATGGTGCTTAAGTTCTTGTGATGGTTGTATCATAATCTTAGAGGCAATTGTGTTGGACTCTAATCATATTCTGTGGCAATCAGGTAGCAATTATTTAAATGAGTTCAGAATGTTCCACAGTATAAACCAAGTCAAAAAACATCAAGTGAATTGCCTGTTTACTTTAGAATTCAAAAATCTCTTGCACAAATTCAACCCTAATCCATGCATTCTAAAAAGGTATACTTATAAAGTTAATAGTTTGGCCTTTTCATCTGATGACATCCAATTGGCATTATGCAGCACAGACAAGATGGTATGTCTGTGGTCAATCAAGAATTTAGATCTAAATAGATGCATTCTAAAAGAACATACTGATCAGGTTTATACGTGACCTTCTCACCTGATAGCACCCAACTGGAATTGTGCAACCACGATAAAATGGTGAATCTGTGGTCAATAGAAAATTTAGATCTGAATCACTCATTCTAGAAGGACATACTGGTGAAGTTAATAGTGTGACCGCATCAAGAAGTTGAGATAATATAGTGCGTCTGTGGTCGATAAAAATTTAGAACTGAATCTACGCATTCTAGAAGGACATACTTCTGGTGTTAATAGTGTGACCTTCTCACCTGATGGCATCCAACTGGCATCATGCAGCTCCAACAAGACGGTGCGTCTGTGGTCTACGATATATGATAACTGTGTAGCTATTATATATATTCCCGGTGTGGTTAGGAGTCTTGCTTGGAAGAATACAAAAGCAAGTGACCTTTTATTAACCAGTGGTGAGGATAAAGTTATTCGTTAGTGGCATGTAAAAAGAATAGATAATCAAACGTCGCAAGTCGCTTTTCATTGGATTTCACGTCAAAATATGTTATGGATTTCTAAAGCAAATATTCAAAGCGTGAAAGGTTTGAATTCAATGAATATACGCCTTTTAAATCAAAGAGGTGCCACCGAAGCCTCAAAAGTTTAACAAAAACGACCAAGCTTAAGTCGAAAATATTAGCAGTCTTGGTATGATACTCTAACAAGCGCTTGATTTTGTATTGTTAAATTTTTATAAATAAATATTTATAATTATATTATATAAACCATCACTTAACAAAAATGATTTAAATATATTGTAACTACGTTACGAACTCGAACAAGTAATCACGTAATTTTTACAATCGCCTCAGTTATAAAGCGCACACGACACATCTAGTACAATAATTAGACGGGTTAATGTATTATTTTCCCCTTTATTTACTCTTTACCGCACTTTTATAAATGCAGCAGACTGTTTACGTTATTATCACAATGCCATTTAATTTATGTTTTTGATTCTCACTCACTATATAAATAACGAGAAAGCAACGAGCAAATTTTTAAATTTTTAAATTTTTTACGGGCGGAAAATCGGACATTTTATTTTATAGTAGCCAACCAAACAGTAAAACCAATAAACTATAACAACCCAATATTGTCCTAAAATATCATGAATCTTCTGTACTTTTTCGCACTATAGCATGCGTAGTGTTTTCTGGAATGTGTTCCCTTACTTCATTGTTAAGTTTCATATAGGCCAATTGCAGTAGATTCCTTCTAACAATAAAGAAAGACGTATCGACAGAGCTTCTTCGAATCGAAAATAACTCTAAATGGCTTTCCAGTTTGCTTGATCACCTTTCTTTCCGGCTACGTTGATCTCATAACACAGGTGATTGAGCTGATCTGTCCTTTTTTCCGTGTTTGTATTTTTGGATGGCACGCTAATATGCGATAGTTCCCTCGAATCTGAAAATTGATCATTAACTGATAGCTCTTGGATAATTCTTGTGACTTGGTGCCCCTATTAGATCTACTTTTGCTGTCACTTTCATAATTCTTTGAATCCACGTGCTGGAATGGAGGGTTACATAGTATACTTGATCATCAATCGACAGGCATTGATGGCATAACCTGTGATCATTATCAATACATTCAAAGTTAAGACATGTCTACATATCTACATGTCAATTGGTAGGCTTGGCGATATTTCCTCAGAACACTTGAGACACACTTTGGTTCGTTGAGAAATGTTAATGTTATTCGGAAGTTAAACTAAGAATGTTTAACGCAATGAATAGCTCGAAATCGTGAGGTCGTTTGAATAAAAGTCTTTAAATACTTTCTTATAATTATTAAATTAACTTCAAGTAATTATATGTTAACAGAAACGGTAGTATATTCACGTTCACGCGATAGTGTTCTTTATCAGAATGCACAAATTACTTGGCAAATACTGTATAATTTAGAATTCTTTATAATTAGACATAAATAAAATGCAACACAATAACTATTGGAAGAAAAAAATTAATTTTTTTTCACTCATAAATCGAGATCTTTATTCAATACTTAGAATAAAGACCAGAGATCCGTTTGTATGCTCCAAGTTTTATGCCTTCGATTTCAATAAATAGTTTTTCAATTAATTAACTTATCTGTTCAAAGTTCAACTTTATTTATCGAAAAATTTTATATAATTTTCACGGATTCATATATTTTACGCTACAAAGCCTTTATTTGTTTTGTTTCTCATGGTGAAAATTTATTCTTCGGGCCTTAACTTATTATTTTATTTGTTTGTCAATGAAATTCAATGTGCACTTACTTTGGGGTTAAAAATATTCCCAGAATTCTGAAGAGTATAATAGAATGCACTTTTCACTTCATTACACAATCTTATAAAAAGTTTTTCGAAACAACAAGGTAAAAGTAGAGAATTTGAGAATATTTCTAATTGATATTTAAGCAGAAAAAATTTTGGCTAATAGAATTTCGTATATGTTTTATTTACTTTGAGCATTAATTTTTCGGTTATGATTAATATTTTGATCTTGAGTTGTCAAATTCATCTCAATTTCGGAATTTTTGGGCTGTGGAAGATTTTTAAAATCCAGAAGTTTGCTTGTACGAAGAATTTGACTTGATTGAATTTGTTCACTTGTACGAAAAATTTGACTTGATTTAATTTGTTCACTTGTACGACCAAGTGGTTGACGCGTCTGATTTTCTTCACTTGCCTTAATTTGCTTTTCAAATTCGGAATCGGATGCAAAATGTTTCCAAGCATTTAAAATTTTACACAAGTCCTCTGCGGATGGTCGTCTTGTTGGATCAGCATCCCAACATTTTTTTATCAATTCAGCTATTAAAGGGGGCAGATCTTGAATTTCTGGTCGTTTCCCGTTACAGATTTCAATTGCAAGAGTTTTGCTTTCTTTCTCAGTTTCACAATCAACATTTCTAAAAGGAGAAGCACCAGAAAATGCTTCGTACATAACCATTCCGAATGAATAAATGTCTGCAGCCTTTGTATATGTCTTCTTATGAAGAACCTCGGGCGCTATATAAGGAAGAACTCCGTATAGTTTGACATCTTTCTTCTTATAATTAGCTGGTTTGCATAAACCCAAATCTGTTATGTAAACCGCATTATTAGAATAAAGAATGTTCCCAGGGTGAAAATCCCGGTGAATTAATCCGGATTTGTGAATTTCGTATAATCCAAGTGCAGCATAATGTAAACGTGTGAACTTTGTTCTCCACGATAAATCATGAATCTTCTTATTATGATCAACAAATTTCATGACGATCATAAAGTTTGAATTTTTGTCTTTTGAGATTCCATAGCATCTGGTAATTTGTGATTTATCACCGTTTAATTTATGAAGATTTTTTGCCTAGATTTAAAGTCAAATTTATTATCAGCAAGGTAATTTATATAAGTTTATCAATGATCACATCAATAAATATTTAATCTTATAATGTGATACAAAAGGGGTTATAATTTCATCGCATTAATAATGTAATTATTACCTCTTCTAAATATTCTTTAGATATCTCTTGAGAGTTTTTTAAGCATTTTAGCGCTACCTTTATTTCCCCGGATCTCCTCCATTGACCATATTTGTTCCAATATATGATGGGTCCTTCCTTCCAATTAGCCGAATAAACTTCTGCAAAACCACCTTCACCAATTTTTTCAATATTTTCAAATTTTTCATATGGAATCCATTCAAGTGTCTTGAATCTGCTTGTTGCTTCTAATTGCGCTTCTTGTATAAAATTATCAACATGTTTAACTCCGCTTGTCCATTTACCAAATTCTTCTTTAAAACGAAAAGAGTTGCAAGAGTGACACCAGAGATTCATGACGAATTTTTTACATTGGTTGCATTTACCTAAGTAATTGATATTATATCATCACTCAAAATGTTACAGCTAACAGTAAACTGAAAAATGAATTCATTTAAAATACCAAATGTTAATGAAAATATGCTCACCCTCTAAAAATAAATAATATAACTCTAATCAACTAAACTACCTAT